ATTGAGGAAGGTTCCGGGATCTCTAAGGAACACACTGGAACCTTCGGCACGGTAGAGGTAGACCTAGAAAGAGATGGATTGCGTGAAAGGTGACATGTTCTAGAAGGGAGTGATGACTGAGATGACGTATGATAGAGTTATGTGGAAGACAAAATCTGTTAGGCCCTACTGGTGTAGGATAAGGCGGAAGATGACGACATCTGAACAGAAAGAATCGTATGAGATTAAGAGTAACTAGACTGTACCCTTTAATATTACAATACTTCAGAATCGTTGGTATTTTTACTGATTTCGATCGAATTGTGTAATGTGAAAGCTTCGATAAATGTGCATTACACATCGCGCGTGGATTTTTGACTGCCGTTTGCAGCACGTATTCGTGACTTGGAAGTTTTGCGAAAAACAAACAACAGGATTGCTATATAGCATGAAACAGGAGAGGTAAATAACTAATTTCTCTATTATCTACAAAATTTGCATAATCTTCTATGTAAAAACAACAAATCCAAGATTTAAATAAGGTTTTTTATATCATAAGTGTCCACCTAAATCCACCAAAATGGCGAAGCGACTGCTGCCTATAGACATTTACAATAAAGGATGCGTTGCCTACCCTTAATCGACGGAGGAGGAAACGCAAATAAAGAGGATATTTACCCTTCCTTTGCCGTCTCCTACAATGTCAAATCCACGTTTCCTCCCATCCTTTTCTCATTAGAAAAAGCGTTCACACAGAAAACAGGCGTGAAGTGGAAGCAATTCCGCGTTTCGTTTGATGAGTGTGTTGCCGGAGGCCTACTTTTGCCCCTGTTCCTTTCCACCTTTTTCTTAAGAGGAAAAGATTAAAAGGAAAAGTGGATTTGACGGTAGAGGAGACGCATATGAAGGGAAAATGTCCCCTTTATGTGCGTCTCCTCCTCCGTCAATTAAGGGTAGGCAACGCATATGCATTTGCAGATGTGTATTGGCAGCGGTCTCTTTCCATTTCGGTGGATTCAGGTGGCCGCTTGCTCGTTTGCCACCTTATATTATAAAAACAAATATTAAAGCGGGCTCTACAACTATTAAGCTAGCTATGATAATACTAGACTTTAACAAATCAGTATATTAGTTTGATGATGCTGAAATTGTTGAGACAACGGTTTAAAGGTTAATCAACTCATATTTCTCTTCGGACTGTTAAGTATTAGACATTGTTGCTTCGATGCATCAGTCTGAAGGCTCCTGAACAGTTTAATTAATGACTTACAAACTAAGTTCAAGCAGATAACCACTTATTTGAAAGGCAAACAATTTCCCACAGCCAATTGTATCTAGTAGTAACTACAGGATACTAGATATTTGAAACGGTCTATTGGAATATAGTATTTACTGCTCTGAATATAAGGATAAATTTTGTTTTGTAATAACAAAGGGTTTCTTGACCCACGAAGAATGCCAGATGCTCTACTTTCGTTGGTACTTCGGTCCAAGGACTGTCCCATTAGATTGTAGTATTGATTATAAATGATTCTATCCATTACTAGGTAAACGAAGATTATTAACTGTTATATGAAATTTCTCGTTCCATCATCCGTCATCTTAGTCATCACACCCTAATCAAGATTATGTCACCTTTAGGTCTATCTCTACCAGTGTAGAAAGAGATGGATGGATTGCATGAAAGATGACATGATCAAGAAGAAGTGATGACTGATATGACCAATGATAGAGTTATTTGGAGGACGAAAACCCAGTGTCCCGACCCTACGGAAGTAGGATAAGGTAGGGGAGATGATGAGATTTCTCTTTCCATTGTTACTTGTAGCCAAAACAGAAGAGTATTTTGAAGAGTGAATTAAGTGAAGTTTACTAAATATATAATAGATGACTAGGCCTTAGTCAACCACGCTGGCCCAGTCAGAGTTGGTTGATGCACACAAATCTATCAATTTCTTCCCTTATATGTGCAGGTTACATCGCGATGTTTACCTTCACCGTACGAACGTCGTGTATATTGTGTACATATGAAATTCGAAAAATCGAAAATGACATTAGTACATGGCGGGATCCGAAGCCAATTTGTGGATTACAATTCAAGTGATCAAACACTTGAGCCACCAACGCACAATAGTTACTTTATTATTATTAAATTAATTACACTTATATGGCTACTAATGTAGAATTGGGGCCTGTCCCACTAATGGCTGATAGAGGCTCAGATAGTTTAAAAAGTCAGATAAGGTGTGGATGTGTGGTGGATTGTTATCAGACAATTTACAACTTAGTGGGTAAGGCCCTTAGATTACAAA